GAAGAAGAAGAAGAAGAAGAAGAAGAAGAAGAAGAATAGAGGAAAGAGGGGGCGGGAGGAAAGGATGGAAGGAGAAATAAAAAGCAGAAGAAACTGAGAATCAAGAAAAATATTTTGCTTACAAATACATTTTTAAAATTATTCTACCAATTTTATTCGTTCTTTTCTTTTTCCTCTTTTTATTTTTCTTTCTTCTTTTTTCTTCTTTTTATTTTTTTTCTTGTATTTTTTGTTTATTTTTTTTTTTATCACTATTAGCTGCTGTTTAAAACAACTTTGTTGTCTTGGTTAGCTTTATAAAAATGACAATAAACTGTCTGTGTTGTAACCAAAAAATAAAAATAAAAAGCAGGAAAAAAAACAGGGAAAAAAAAAAGAGGAAAAGGGGAAAAAGACGAAGAAAGGGAAGAAAAACGTATAAAACACCGAGTTACAAATTGAAATTTTCAGTGGGATTTTGAGTTTTTTTGGAGGACCACCCGTCTCTGTTAAACCTGGGAAAAAAGAAAGCGTTAAAGTTCATTGAAGAATTTAAAGTTTCTTTGTTGTTCCTTTTACTTATCTGATTTTTCTTCTGCAGTAAGAATTACTTCTATAATTTTTTTCCGATTAATTTTAAATAATTTGTTGTTACTGTTGTCTTTGACGATCAAACAAATTGGTAAAGTTGATTGTTTATCTGAACTGATTGTTTGTACAATTTCTCACTTTGATTTGCATTACAGATTTCTAATCAATCCAAAAAGAAATGAGAAACTCACGAAAAGCCATTAGATAATCTCCACCAACTGTTTAGTAGAATAAAATGAAAAAAATTTTCGACTTAAATTAATGGGGAGAACGTGTCTAATTTTTTATTTCTCCATTTTTTTTAGGTTTCCTGTCTAAGATGTCTGTCAGCACAATGAATGTGGGTCAAAACAGTTGCAATTCGCAGCTGAAATGCCAAAAACGAACCAGCGCTTTAATTTATGGAGCTGACGAAAACACGTTAACGGTAAGCATTACTTTGGCTCACTGTTTTTCAGGTATACCGCAATAACTGTAAATACTTCTTATAATTCCAATGAACTTTTGTTCTCAAATTACCTTTTTCTCTTCAATCCCATATTATTCTTCGTCTTTTTTGATGTAAAAATACATAGAAATTATTTGCACCATCGACTGTAATGGTATACTTACTGAATCGGACAATAACATCAAAATTCTAACAAAATGTCCATGAAAACAGTTGTTTCTTCCTCCAATTAAAATTATCAGAAAAATATTTATATATTGACTGAATTTCCAATAAAAAGAAAAAGAAGAAGCATTTTGGCACCCGGCACAATATCGCTGCCAAAATTTATCATGTCATTAGTGAAACTAACAAAAAGCAGAACTCAAATGACTATAGCAGAATTTCTTGTTTTTAGCACTGCTAAAATTTTAATATTTTTCTAACTGTATGAGAACCGCACACTTCAAAAAAGTCTAGAAAAAGTTGCCTAGATAACGGCTTATAGAAATCGGTTTACGATGACTGTACTTAATCTGTTACATCATATTCAGCCGCTTTTAAAACAAGTTTTATAAACAAGAACACTATTATTGAGTGACAACGTTATTTTTGTTTATGGTTGACTGCAACTAAAACAGTTAATTTATTTTTGGCTGAAACTTTCGAATAAACATTCTTTAACCTCATTAAAAAAAATTTTTTTTATTCAAATATTTTTAGGACGAAAATGGTAATATTTGGGACGTACATCCGATAACACAACATGCAGCACGTTCAACAAATCTTATTCGAGAAATTGTTGATAATTTTTCAGCAGTTTCTATCTCAAAAAAACCAATGATAAAACTACACTTAGGCGACCCATCGGCCACTGGACTTTTTTCACCGTGCCTAGAAATTGAAAAAGCACTTGTGAACACTGTTGTTTCACATAAATATGACTGTTACGGCCCGGCAGTTGGTCGCCCGGAACCACGTGAAGCAATTGTACGCCATTTTTCCACTGCAGCAGCGCCGTTTACCGTCGATGATGTCGTTCTCACCAGCGGATGTTCACACGCTTTACAATTGTGTATTGAAGCTTTGGCAAATCCCGGTGACAATATCCTCCTTCCATCACCCGGTTTCCCACTTTATACCACACTTTTACGACCACATGGCATTAAGGTAAAGTTTAGCAATTAGTTTAAAAACATGCGAAATATTGACTCAATTTAATGTGTTCGAAAATACAAAACAAAAATCTTCAACAAAATAGTATGTTGACAATTAATAATCTATTTTCAGGAAAAATTCTATAGGATAATTCAGGATGGAGAAGTAAAACTTGATGTAGATCAGCTGGAAAATTTAATTGACGACAAAACGAAGGCAATTGTTGTGAATAATCCGTCGAATCCAGTTGGTGCTGTATATGCAAAAAAACAATTGGAAAGTCTACTACAAGTCGCATTTAAATATAAGATTCCAATTATTGCCGACGAAGTATATGGAAGAATAACATTTCATAATGCCGAATTTTATCCGTTGGCATCATTGGAACCAAAAGTACCAATTTTAACATGCGACAGTATTTCGAAACGTTATCTGTCACCGGGTGCTCGGCTTGGTTGGATAATAATTCATGATCGTTATGGTGCACTAAAACAAGTCCGCTTTGGTATTACCTCATTGGCACAAAAGATATGTGGACCATGTACACTGATCCAAGGAGCATTACCGGATATTTTGGACAATACACCGGCATCATTTTTAGAAAATATTCGCAGCAAATTGGGAGCAAATGCCGATGCAGCTTATCAAATACTCAGTCAAATACCTGGATTGCAGCCGGTGAAACCGGAAGGTGCAATGTATTTGTCGATATGTATAAATGAAAAAATTTATGGAACAGAAAAACTTTTCTTGCAAAAATTGATTAACGAAGAAAATGTGTATTGCTTACCGGGTTCAGCATTTTTCTATCCGGGAATGATTCGTTTGGCTTTGATATATCCAAAAGATGTTATTGTTGAAGCCTGTAATCGAATTGCAAATTTCTGTCGTACTGTTTATAGCAACAAAAAATAAATAGTGCGATAGTATTGCGAAAAAAAAAAAAAAAAAGGGAAAAAATAATTTAATAAATAAAAAACGAAAACAAATTTTTTGTAGTTATTTCTTCTTTGCAATATTTTCAATTCGAAAAACAACTTTTTTTTTTTTTTGCGTTACTTTTAATTAAATTGTCATATAAGTGCATCTTTTTTTTTTTTTTTACAGTTGTATTAAAAAAGAAAATCAGTATTTATTTTTAGTGTCGATAAGTAACTTAAAGTAAACCAGTATTTAATATGGTGTATTTTTACAGGTATACAGAAGTAAAAAAAAAGGGGAGAAAAAAAAAGAAAGAAATGAATAAAAATTTCTCGGTGTTTAATCTGTATAAAACCGGTAGTGTTTATTTAATTCTGTGCTTTTCTTTTTCTTTCTTTATTTTTTTTTTTTTTATCTTATGATTTTATAGCAAATAAGTTGTATTTGTAAGAGGAAATTTTCTGGTGTAGAATCTGTTGTTGTTTGTTCGGTGTTAAGCTGTTTTTGTGAAATAGAACTATTAGGTGTTCTATACAGAGGAAAAAATAATAATTATTATAGAATGATAATGGTATACAGTTTTTAATCTTTTTTTTTTTCTATTTTCGCTGT